ATTCGGACAAAAGAAAGGAGTCTCACAGTGTGTACGAGAGGAGAAGACCGCATTCGCGATATTTCTGTGGTCGGAAGGGAAACTTAGTAATGATGATGACGCAATTATATGGTAGGAAGACGACGGATAACAGTGCACCAACGTGTGTCTAAGTAGGTAATGCAAGTAACTAGGCTTTGAATTGTTTTGACTTCCTAGAGAAATTTATATGTATACTTTTACCGTTAACTTATCAATTGATAATTTCTTGTCTGTTTTTCTGTATTTCCACAATTCCATCACACAAAACAACTGGACTAACTAAGCTCATATTTCCGATGAGGTATATAGGTAGGCGATATAATCATATCGGAGTTCTGTTAATGCATTTTAGAATTTTGTCCAATTGCCCGAGAGGTAGTATTGTTATACTAGCAGAGGGAATGGACAATAAATACTCCATGGTATAAGAAGCATACAAAATGCGTAAAAGAAAAAGTTTTGAAGAAATGTTTCAATTCATCTAGGATGTGTCGTGAAATGAAGGTCGTACATTTATTGCGCCAAAGAGTTTCTTAATTGCGTCAAGCCCTCAAAGGGTCCCAAAAAATGTTTCTTAATTGCGCCAAGCCCAAACCAGGTAGGGGTTAATTGCCGGCAGAAGGAATATCCTTGTACGTGTCATCTTAACCTAACATAACATTTCCAACCTACTAAATTATACAGTCAACGGGGTCGCCATTAGGCACAGTGAATGGACCTATCGGGTGGCTCCCCTGGAGTAGTTGGCGCAATTCAGGAATACCCGACTACCTACTCAGGTCAGTTGGCGCAATTAATGCCCGTCCGAAATGGATTGTTACTTCATTACACCAATATTGTAGTTCTTTTGAGTTTATGACAAAGACAATATTATCAACAGCGCTGCTCGTGTAAGAACACAAGGATATACGAGAACCAATTTTCATGCAAGCACGACTCAACGAGACTACACAATTTCAACTAATTGGTACATTTTTAAGAGGAAGGGGTTTTATGGAATGCGCAAAGTAAAAGGCAAAAGAAAGGGCGGGTCACGAAACTTTCACCAGCGAAAGTGAAGATCGGCTGTCGTGGGAGGTGCTGTACCTTCTGTAATATGGATGTATTGGAGATGTTGGTTCAACATATCAAACATTACATCGCTAGAGTTAATCTGTTTTGGTGATTCATAATAATAAATAAACGATTTGTGTTATTAGAAAAGGTTTAAATGCCCGCTATAAAGCAATCCAATTTTGTTGTTAGCACAACTAGTTTCGGTGTCTGTGTGACACCATCATCAGGCTGCATAAGGACAGTTTTCTTTCTTCATACGAAGAGCGTCATATTTACACGAAAATATGAGTCCAGACTTCATATTTTCGTGTAAATATGACGCTCTTCGTATGAAGAAAGAAAACTGTCCTTGTGCAGCCTGATGATGGTGTCACACAGACACCGAAACTAGTTGTGCTAACAACAAAATTGGATTGCTTTATAGCAGGTATTTAAACCTTTTCTAATATTATTTGGCAATCCGGAGGCTAACAACTACAATGGATTTGTGTTAAAACTGAAATCCTTGTCATTGAATATTACAGTAACGATCTCTTAGTCAGTTTAGTACCTACCCTGATAATTCATTTTTGGGTGAGCTGGTGAGCTTGTCTTTGAGTCTGCTACAATTTGAATTATTGTTACCTAAAGTTTTTTACTCTGCGGTAGTTTATGAAGCACAAGAGACGCTCTGGATTACAAAGTAATCGTCCTTCCACAAAAAGGTTGAAACCGGCATTCAAAAGCAGCACACCTTGACATTAGCTAAATCGAAAATATTTTTAGCCTTCAATAATTTTAATTCACAGTAACCTACATATTCGGTACTTCTGCATTTACGTCATATTAAGCCCGAATATTGTACGTTTACCGTCCTATTAGTACGAATATTGTACGATAAATTGTCACTTCGGTTTCAAAATTTGTAAAATTACATCGACAAGAAAACCCAATGTCCAACAGACTCACAATAGTTTTTACTAAGCCTACCTCACTTTACAATTACTATTTGATCGTAAAAATTCTTCAAAATATCGCTGAACAAAATTCAAATGTATCCAACAACGTAATCTCTATAGAAGATCCGCCGAGTTGCAGGTCGGTGAGAGGTAAAAAGAGAGGTTTTAGAGCAGAGTGTACCTTATACAAAGTGGGTCGCCAAAAGTAGGCGATTCTTTACAAACGACCACCGCTATCCTCCCCGCGGGTAATGTAGCTAGATAGTGTAACAACAACAGTAACAGTAACAGTAACAGTAGTAAAATACCGGTTTGATCGTTGATCCGCTTTCGCTGGATCGAGTGTCTTTTTTTACAGATCGAGATCAGAGTTTGTTTACATCTCCGACAAAATTACATTCAAGCACAAATCCTAAATCCTAAGTCCTAAATTAAGCACAACGAATAATATGATTGGCCTAAGTACTTTTCTGTTATCTAGACAACACTATTTCTTAAGCACGTTCGGTAGTTTCATCATAGACTCCAACACAACACATCTTTGTACTAACATGTTTTATCTTTGGTTTCATATCGTGTAAAATATACAGATACTTTTCACACTTTCAGATACTTCTACACATGTGATTCAACAACATTAAGCTACATTTTACATTGCCTAATCCATAACCAAACAATTAGCGAGATAACAGAAACGTATCGTGTAATATTAGAAATCATGATAAGGACTGGGGAGTATTGTTTTAAGAAATATGTAAGAAAATATAGGACCACGCCCTACAGTTTATATACTTACAAAAATGCTACGATATTAGTCTGTGAGGGTGTAAGAAGCAATAATCTACCATAAAATAATGAAGAAACATAGTCAACAGCAAACATAAACGTTACTAACATGAAATTGGTAACTACACAGATTTACAAAAGGTTGGAAGTCGTGAGTGTACTAGAATATTTAACTTCAATACCTTGGCCTTTACAAAAAATAGTCACAATAACATTACCGGTAGGCCTACACATATTTGTAATACATTTCCTCTTACATTAGCTCTTCAAAACCGATACATAAAGTGGAGCGTCTTTACTTATAACGAAGCCAATAATTAATTAAAATCTCCATTCTGTGAAGATCCGCTGCGCTACGTTAACTATTAATTTAATTAATTAATCTTCGAGCTACTTTATAAAAACCGTCTTCATCTAAAAGTAGGCGGTGTACGGTCACTATGTTCTGGGAACAATATCAAATGGTCGAAAGTTTGCACCACTATCACAGGTAAGTTGAACATTTTAAAAGATTTATAACAAGTTTTACACGAGGGCAATGTATAATGCAGCACTCGAAATGCACTCCGCCTAAGTGAATGCGACGCAAAACCCGTTTACAGTACTTAATTCAACCCGTAATTATACCTTAGTATGTAAATGAGTTTAAAATATGACGAAACGAACTGTAGCTCTAGCACAACCATTTGTGTCCAAGGACGGTGCAATACAATACAGCTATAGACCTTTCACGCCTTCAACACTGCATTCCGTCAAGAGGCGAATGCTGAATGAAAATGTTCATCAACTTCGACGAATGCTGAATGAAAATGTCCATCAACTTAGACGAATGCTGAATGAAAATGTTCAACAACTTAGACGAATGCTGAATGAAAATCTTCATCAACTTCGACGAATGCTGAATGAAAATGTCCATCAACTTAGACGAATGCTGAATGAAAATCTTCATCAACTTCGACGAATGCTGAATGAAAATGTCCATCAACTTAGACGAATGCTGAATGAAAATGTCCATCAACTTAGACGAATGCTGAATGAAAATGTCCATCAACTTAGACGAATGCTGAATGAAAAGGTTCATCAACTTAGACGAATGCTGAATGAAAATGTTCAACAACTTAGACGAATGCTGAATGAAAATGTTCATCAACTTCGACGAATGCTGAATGAAAATGTCCATCAACTTAGACGAATGCTGAATGAAAATTTTCAACAACTTAGACGAACACTGAATGAAAATGTGCAACAACTTAGACGAATGCTGAATGAAAATGTTCAACAACTTAGACGAATGCTGAATGAAAATGATCAACAACTTAGACGAATGCTGAATTAAAGTGTTCAACAACTTCGACAAATGCTGAGTGAAAATGTTCATCAACTTCGACGAATGCTGAATGAAAATTTTCAACAACTTAGACGAACACTGAATGAAAATGTGCAACAACTTAGACGAACACTGAATGAAAATGTGCATCAACTAGACGAACGCTGAATGAAAATTTGCAACGACCAGTACAGTAGTTGTTTGAATGGCATGGAATTGAGTTTCTGTTGCCAAACGCTACACGGATTAATTACCTATCGCTGGAATGGGAACTATGCCTAATACCAGTAATAATAGACCTATTTTAAACAAGAACCCCGGCAATAAAATTAGTAAATTTATGTAAGAAAATCATCGCAATAACTTACCGCTTAGTATGCTTAAGATAACGATAAACCCGGCTACAAGTGACCAACATCAACAATAGTATCACATTCAAGACCACTTACCTTCATTTTTAAAGTCACATTTAGGCCTACATAAAAAATAAACTTAATACTGCTGTACCTAACCTATGTTATGGGCACTAAAATAAGGATAACAATAACAGATTTCCGTGAACGCAATCAAATTAGGGTGAACGAACTAACTTAGCAAAGTGCAACGTCCACATTTTATGAGTTCATGAATTATGGAAGCAGCCTAGAGCATAGACAGAAAAAATTTAAACACAGGTACAGATGCTGTGAAAGGCAGATCAGATTCGTTGATATTTTTTAGGTTAAAAAAGCGAATTCTTACCTGCTATGTGGCGTCGTGGTTCCTCCAGTTTTGCCGAATAGCACTTAACATGTAAACGACCAAGAAAAGTCGTTAAGAACACGAACGGAAGAAGAAAACACACTCAAGAACACTTTGTTGTGAACACTTACCCGACAGTTGGCGTACTGGAGTTTGCGCTGATGTCCGCGGCGGCAATGGCGGCGCCACCGTCTGGAGCTCGGCCTGCACAACAACAGCTGGTCAGGACAGGAGCGCCAGTTTTGAATTTGATTATGGTGGATTGTGGTTGGTTTATTTGAGTTTGAGTTTACTGAGCATATTTCAATAACTTAAAATACTTTACATCAAAACTAATCTAATATGAATTAAAACCAGACGAATAAACTTTTTTAGGATTCCACCTATTTTTCAAGTGAGATGTCTACATATTTGCCTACTCTAGGCTTGGTTGAAAATTGACTATGTGAATGTTAAACCACATTAAAAGTATAACATATGTTTTCCGAACGTACATAGTCTCAATACCCAAGAAAATTGCGGGATCACGAATAAATTGAAACTGGGATCAAAATTGTAGGCGCTAAATATCTAAATTTCTAAAATAACTCATCCTTATAGAACGACGCAAATGTAGTATGTAGGCCTGAGCAATATGGGCTTTAGTTTTAGGTTTACAATGAAAAACTGTTAGGCTCTTTGTGGCTGACAAATTCTGAACAAAATATTTATAATCCTACATTTACGCAAAATTCTTTATAGATCCAAACTAAAATCTTACCAGAGCTGATTCCCAGCGCCCACACCAAGGTACCAGACGGTTCTGGCTGCTTTCGGGCCGTGGAAACGTAAATATCGGAATTATCTCGGCATTAGAGAGGCTGAGAATTGGACGAAATGTGCGAGAATTGCGCAACATAACTATGAGGAAAACCAACAAAGGCAACGGAAACGCCGAGATTGTGGATCCTCCCACGCGAAACTGCATAATTAATCAGAACTGCATCGAAATCACCGACGTCGAGTAGTGGGGGATCTGCGTAATTAGGTAGACATGTTCAATCATACCCGGAAATTACATAGAGTGTAAATATTTATTTCTATAATGTTGCAGTGTGATCGATAAGAGTTTAAATCAAACTAAGTTAGGTCATATGGATGGATGATTACATTTATTTAATTCATCGGAAGTTTTGTGATTTCAGTAAAAAATATACCTACTTATTAATGTTTAATAGTCTGCAAAGCCCGTGGATGATTAAAAATAATAATGGCAAAATCCTTGCGAGACAGTTTAACAACGGAATGCGGCGTCTGTATGATTTCGATTCGGAGACTTTAACGACATATCTACCAAGCTGACTGAAGTCGTGAAAAACAACGATAACGATATTGATATTATTATATTGGGATTGAATCTTTAATTGACAAATGGTGTGGAAACCGTTTAAATTGCGAAGAAGCTTAAGCTTGGTAAGTTGAGCGGATGAATTTTGTTTACATAACGTTTAGGAAGTTTGAAAATTATGAATTTCTGTAAAAATAGTAGGTCTATATTGTTTAAATACCTAATGAGGCTCGTGGGTAATGGAAAATAGCGCTGTCAAAGTGTTGCCGAGTCACACAATAGTAAGATTTACACTTGGAGACTTTAAAGATTTTGTTCCAAAACTTAAGTCGAGATAAAATCCAACATATCATGAACAATTAACTCTTTAAAATCACACATTGTTATCAAATTTAAAACTAGTAAACTTCTTGTACATTATTACTCAAATTCAAAGGCTTTTGAAATACTTTAAGTTCGAATGAAAATGTAGTCCAAGTTCACTACTTGGACGACCTTGCTGCTTTACTCAAGACAGCTGAAAAAAAGATGTAACAGAGAAAATCCTTAATTAAGTATATAGATCAAGGGGACATCCACTATTTAAAAATAATAAATCCCCTTATACCGTCAACCTCTTATTGATACATAAACCAAATATACTTTTATCTTGGTTAGTAATTCCAAGTGCAATCATACATTTCATATTATGTAAAACATTGTGCAAACTTATGAAATACCAAAAACCAAAAACTCACATTAGTGGTTGTATCCTGGATGCAATTGTTCAGCGGCGCGATGTTCACATTCTTAGTTTGCATCCTCCCTGCAACAACAAACACATAATTAACAGAAATAACTTGTATATATATTACATACTAAAAATTTGTTTTTTGTTTGTTGTTTTTTTTTTTAAATTGCCATCATTAGACGTCTTCGGCTGAAGCAGCGTCGTCATAGTAGAAACCCATAACACGAACACGACTGCTTCTACTGTGACGACGCTGCTTCAGCCGAAGACGTCTGATGATGGCATGTTAATGCCGAAACGGCCGTAACGGAAGTTACAACTTATTGAGCTGTAGACAAAAGGTAAAAACAATTTTTTAGTTATATCACAGCTCAGGGGCTAAAAATATGGATTTTAATATATACGTACGTTGACGATTTGTATACTAAAATATTGAAGGGTATTATCTACAGTTATACATGTTTCAATAACATCCATGAATTTCCTAAATTTAGCTCGATTATACATATGATGTATACAAGATCACACTATATTTCCTACAAATGTGTATAATTAAAATAATGACCTGCGCACAATCAAGCCCGTTCTCTTAAAATACATACATTTAAAGCATTATCGATATAATATAGAGAAATAACAAAATGTTATGCAAATAGAGTAGCAAGGCAAGGACAACTATTAACTAAAACACATTAACTTAAATAAGTTGCACGAGTTTCCTGAGAAATAAAAACGCCGTGAAAGCTTCTTCTGCAAAAACCGCAGACTGCGATGCACCTAGATTGCGTGGCGCGGCTTGAAGGCACCATAGACACAATGGCGTATAGTAGTTAGTTGTCTTAATATTTTTTCCTGTTTTGACGATTAAAACTATTTAAATCGACCGTTTGGGATAAATAATAAGTATTGTATATTGCCTGAGTTTTAAAATGCCCTCTAAAATATATCGTTGTCTATAATATAGCTGGGATTTCAAATACAACGCGTTAAATGTTATAGGTTAAAAATTATCACAAAAAATTCAGGGGGCTGAAGTTATTTATGTATCATAATAGTAATTGTAACAAATTAATCATTGAACATGTAATACTTAGTACATGGGAATTATTTAAAGTCAAGTTACAAGATACGAGATTTTGTCCACTAAACATTGAATGCAATAGAGAATCATTGAAGTTAAATAATAACATATACAGGGTGAATTTTAAATGAGTTCCCCCCCTACTTTTTTCTACATTTCTTGAGATATCATCTCCGGACCACGTCAGATCATTGTTGAGTAGTAAGTACTTCATTTTGACTGGGTATACATTTTTGGCCGCCATCTTGGATCCGCCATATTGGATACAAAGTTTTTTTTTCAAATGTAAAGGTAGGATTGTGACCCATTATTCCAAACTAGAATTGAACGCTGATTCCAATGCCGCAATTAGTTTTAAAAAATCTTGATCCGTTCTAAAGTTATGAGGACCTTTTATAACTTTATTTTTAGTACATTTTAACATTGTGCATTAACAAACTAAGACCATAATCTCAAAATAGTGCTAGATAAAGATAAGTATACAGCACCATTCATTGTCGACATATTTTCACTTGGTTATGACGGATGTAGTTTTTTCTGCCGCCATCTTGGATCCGCCATTTTGAAATGTGATCATTTAATTTAAATATGAAGGTGGTGTTGTGACCCATCATTTTGAACTACTTTTTTATGCTGGACTCAATGCCGCAATCCGTTTTTGGTTATCAAGCTTTCTTGATGAAATATTAAAATACTCTTATTTAAAATTTCAATATTTCAAAATCCAAAGATGCAAATGAAAAACGCATTCAATTCAGCGTTCAATTCTAGTTTGGAATAATGGGTCACAACCCTACCTTTACATTTGAAAAAAAAACTTTGTATCCAATATGGCGGATACAAGATGGCGGCCAAAAATGTATACCCAGTCAAAATGAAGTACTTACTACTCAACAATGATCTGACGTGGTCCGGAGATGATATCTTAAGAAATGTAGAAAAAAATAGGGGGGGAACTCATTTAAAATTCACCCTGTAGTTTCAGAAAATGGAGCCTTTTTAGCTACAAAAGCATTTTAGAACAACTCATCATCTGAAAAGCAGCTACAAATTCTTTGTGATTTGGGTTGAATAAGGGGTTAAACTACGAATATAAATGTTTGTTGAAATATAAAAAGCAGATCAATAACGCACAAACCCATCGCGACAACGTCTCCAACCTTCCTCTCATCTTTGATTGGACGTCAGGCCCTGTTGATTGCGAGATACCGAATAATCGATTAGTAACAATCGATTATCAAACGCAGGTGCCGTCATGCAGCATAGTCACTCAACAGACCCATCGCGACAACGTCTCCAACCTTCCTCTCATCTTTGATTGGACGTCAGGCCCTGTTGATTGCGAGATACCGAATAATCGATTAGTAACAATCGATTATCAAACGCAGGTGCTGTCATGCAGCATAGTCACTCAACAGACCAAATCGCCACATCCTGTCTGTGTGTCTTCAGTCGAGATGAATCTGAAATTATTCATTGTTTCCGCCATCCACGAGACCCAGAACTGAATGTGTTGTCCCAGGGGTTACTGGCAAAGGGTGGGTGATGAATTAGGCTTGGGTAGCCATCCAGAGTAAGATACCGGTACCACACGGCACCATCCAAATACATAACGTTGATATTCTAATTACATCATGAACTTCGACGTAAAATCACAACATTTTAAGGGATATCCTTAGTGCTAGTCGAACCTCGTTAGTACGAACCTCGGTAAACAAATTCCTCGATAACACGAATTTTCTAAAATCCCCTAGAAACTTTCACGAAGGTAAAAGCTAAAAACACCTCTGTACAACGTAGTAATTAGGTTAAAACCTCCATAAAATTAATTTGTTTGTGACATTGGCTATGACTTATACAACGTATATTCTTTGCAAAAAACATCTACAAGACGAATTTGACCTCTATAAGACGAATTTCTCATAATCTTAACCCCTATACGAATTGCCCCTAACCCTAAAGGTAAGAAACTGATTGTCCAACATTTACAATAAAGCAGATCCCTTGTATAAGAATAATGTTTTAATTAAACATGAAATTCAATTAAAAATACCGCTTAGACAAAAAAATTTACCCTTGACACTCAATGAATGTTCATCTCGTTTTGATGGCCTAGTGTTAGCATCTCGGACTTCGGTGCTAGGGACGGATTCAATCCTCGACGTGTCCACAATGTTTTGGGTTGACCCGATTTCCCTGAAAGGTGTTGGAAGTAAATGTGATTGCCAAAATAACAATGCCACTGAAGAAAACGACATAACAGCAGGCCTTCTGGCACATGGTATAGTAGTACGTTTTCTGTGCTTCTGGTAAAATGAAAGGTGACAATGACGTATTTATGCATGTCAATTTGTCGCCTTCACTGAAGGAAACTAGCCAATACCAACCAATTGTTAGAGTAGAACCAATATCAATCAATAACTAAGGACACACAGTCATTCTTGGGTATCTAGCGTGAATGTGGGTAGTTTAAATTATTTTATATTTAAATCGAATGCTTCTATGAAGTTGAATGTGCTAGTTAAAATCGTATAATTTCAGTGTCGTTTAACCATACTCTCCGTGGGTTTACATCTGCCATTTGTAATGAACTACACATGTAGAATGTGTCTAATATATAAGGCTGATATTTTAGAATGTAATTACTCCCTCTGTGTGTATTTAAATCTGCGTTTTAGTTTGGAATTTAATTTTCGGTGATGATATGTTCTATCAACACCCCCACAAACTATATCAAAAGCGAAGCAAACCACCGGCACCGGGTAGCAAAGCACCGCCCTCTTTAACCCAAGATAACAAAAAGGGCAAAGTAATCTAAAAGAATCACATAGGTTCGATAAAATTAATGAAACCATTGATTACCTGTTCCTAGCAGCCAGCCCAGCCCCTACCAAGCTTTACTGGCGTCGCGTCCAGCCCTGAACCTATCATTAAACATAAAAAATGCCGTTAATAGATGGGCAATCAGCAGAGATGATGGGCCATATAGCACGGGACCGCTTATAGATTGTGCGGTGGCTCATTAAACATTGTAGGCCCTACCAAGTGTTGCGTGTGGGGGGGCATTATTGGAGGTGGATTTCTGAAGCATCTCGAACTATGAGTACTTTCAGCACCTCTTGTACCATCGTTGGGAGGTTGATCGCTTCGAAGGACAGGGTTAACATTTAGTCAACCTTTGAGGATTGACAGGATATGATTATGATGGTGACAACAGCTCATAGACATTTGCACCAACGAAGCAATTTCGTTTTAACAAAATCAAATACGTTGGTACGGTTTTATGTGATGCCGCATTTCCCACCCCTTATGTTATTCAGAATAGAATATTGAACCCAACCTTTTGAAGTACAGTAACTCTATAATTTAAGGTAAATACCCCCGCCGCAGCAAACCTGCCGACTAAGCGAATTTCCATTTGTCTGAATTGATTTTCAGTTAAATATATTTTAATAACATTAGGTTTAACGAGTACCTAGGTTTGCTGCTACAAGGAAACTAATTAAGTGTGTTTTTGAGTAAAATATTGATAGCTTAGTACAAAATAAATAAATTTGCCAAGTTTGATCAAAATGTATCCATAAACAAGCAAACTACAACATTTGACAATATTCTCCATAAGAATAACATGGGAATTTTAAATTTAGAATTTTTTAAATTTTCTCCGTTACTAATAATCGAACAAAAATACTTTTATATACTAAATTATTTGTTTTTTAAGCTCTTTAAAAAGGTCTAAAGAGAAATCGGGAAATTTTGTGTTTTGAGGGTCAAAAGTGAGAAAAACCAATTTTTACCCCATAAAACCCCCCGTAAAGCCCCGTTCCCATGGTCCGATCGTGCTGGTTCGCGAACTCATTCAAGTTTATCCCGCTTTACACCTTTAAACCAAATGTCATCAAAATCGGACAAAAATTACTCAAGTTATCGCGTTCACGGACGTATATATATATATAAGTCTATATATATATATATATATATATATATATATATA